CTCTGGGAGAGCCTCCAGCAGCCCTAACTGGGCATCACTTGTGTCTTTGCTATCACATGACACTCCAGCCCCTGCCTCTTAAAATGAGCTGTGCTTTAGAATTATTTTTGACAGTTCCTAAAATTTAATCTTCCCTCTTCCCATGTAGACTTGACCATAGCTATTTTACATATATTTAGAAAAATTAAACTGAAATATCTTGATTTGGTAGGAGATACCTCTAAGGGAGAACTGTGTAAACCACCTCATGGGTCTTCTAGAAGCCTTACATCTTTGGACTTTAAAGAAATCTAAATTTTCCAAATGATGTTCAGATAACAGGTATCATCCTCAGGAAGTCTGCTTGGGAGAAATGTGAGCTTTTTTAAATTGAAGCTGGATACAAAGCCTAATGAGCAAAGTTAAAGCATGTAAAGGAAAACAGATTTACCAAGTATTTTCTGTCATTGTTTCTTTTCCATTGTTTCTTCTTATTCTAACCTTGCTGTCTTGTCTTTACCAGCTGAAATAGGGGATTTTGATGAATCAGAGGATCGAGAACACCTAAAAGCAAACCAGTATTTGCCAAACCAGGAAAGACTTGAAGGAAAGATTCTGGAGTTCCACAGGAAGCATGTGTAAGTGAGGATTACTACACCCCCAATGTGTACTGCTGGGGAAGCAGATGGGTTCACTTGGTAGAGGTTGAGCATGCTGCACAACAGAATGATGTTATGATTCTATCAGCTAAGCACCATTTATATCTAGCAGGAAAAGTTACATAGGTAGAACAGAGTTTTCAGCAGTAGTTTATCCTAAGTGATTTTTTCAGTGAAACTTTAATGACATACAAAAGAAAGCTATCATGAGCTTGTAATAATGGTTTTAGGCAAAATCGTTCTTCAGAATTTCTGGTGTACAAAGTTTTAAGTTTAGCTTGCTGTCAAATGCATAGATCTTGATTTTTGTCTGAACAATGAGAAATTGGTTGCATTGTACTCATTCTGTACTCAATAAGCATAAAGAAGATGGAGGAGGATGGAGGGAATGGTAGAGAAATAACTTTCATCAGACTTTATGCAATACCTTATATTACAGCTGGAGTATTTTTTTAAATAATTTTATTAGGGACAAATAAACTATATGCCATGAATGTAAAAACTAATTCCAACATAATCAGAAACTGTGGAAACAAGTGCTTTATTATTTGAAATGCCCAGTTCTCCTGCCATGCACATTCTATGTACAGTAAGCCTGTGTGTTGTACAGTCTAATTTGGGTGGTCTTAAAATGTGTAGATCTACTCAGTGTGTGCAGTGTAAAATATTTTGGTAAGTAAGAAGATTTGGAGCAAACAAACTTGATGCTCATGAAGAGAAGTCAACCTACAGGGAGGCTTGTTGAGACCAAAATATCACTGGGAAGTTCAAGGCTTGAATTGCAAGACCGGTGTGTGCCACAGATTTGTCCTCCTAGACTTTTAAGCACCTAATGTTAATATTGCTGAGAAATTTCAGTCTATTCCATGCCATAATGATCCTAGACTTGCTTGTGCAGTTCTCAGAGGTGACAGATGAAATCAAAAGAAAGGTGTTTGATTAAATGGTGCTAGAGGTTTTATTTCATGCAGTAGGTCTTTTCTGTAATTTTTGAGGCCTTGTGTATTAGGATTTAGCAATTTGAAGTGCTTTTATGAGTTGTGAATATCTACCTGCACAGTTTATTATGCAGGTTATGCATTTTAATCCAAATACTATATTAGAAATTTAAATTTTCCTTCTACTCTGCATAGGTAAACTCAGGGATTGACATTGTTATAAGATGGAACAAAGAGGTTTTTCAGGGCAGCATTTGTGTCAAAGGCTGTGTACACATCTGTATTATTTGAAAACTAGTTCCTGAGAATTTCAATAATTAACTATTTGCTTTTATGATCTCTCATTTCACTGGTACTGAAATTATCAGTACTGATGGAATTTCGGCTTTAATTCTTGATGAAGTCAGATGTTTGTTGCTTTTGTTTCTGCTTTTGATCCTTTGAGGTGTATATGGAAATGCTGAAGGAACAAACGAAATGTTTTTCTAGAGTAATTTGAAGTAAATTAAAATGTATGCTGGGATTCTTCACTTTAGGAGATGTAGCTGGAGGAGGGAAGCCATTAATTGCACAGTAATATTTGATTATTTTTCTCACATCCAAAGAAAAGTGCTAAAATGATTAGGTAGTAACTTCAAAGCAAATACACTGCTGCAAGAGGCTGTGGAGTCTAATGCTGCAAATGGCTTCATGAAAGGGTTTGATGACATGGTGCTGATGGCTCTCAAATTTGAGACAGAATGTATAATTTTGTAGTTCTGGGGTAAGTACGTCCAGGCCATGCAGGGAACAGCCCTTTGGTAATCATCTGGGTCTGATTGTGTTCCTTCTGCTTGGGGAGAATTTTCTTGGTTTACTTTTTTTGATGGAAAGGTTTGTCTTCTGAGTGAGTCAGGGACTGGTAATTTTGTTAATTAGGTCTGAGCTTTTTTTCAAACAAGTTACTTCTGCTCATCCTTTACAGTAAGGGAAAGTTTGTATTTTTGCCTGTCAGAAGAAGTTTCCTTCCTTTATAAGTGCACTTTTAATTAGTTTAATGAGAATTGCATATAATACGGTCATATTATTAAAATTACTGCAAATATTATTAGGCAGTATTTTAGAAGTGTACATTCAACCCATTTTAAGACTAAAAGCTGAGGCATGTGGTTAGAAAAGGTTATAATTGAACATTAGTGATACCTGAGCACCTTGGACATATATTTCATATCCCTCTGTACCTTGGGAAATATTTTTCTTCCAGAGAGATGTAATTTTGGAAGCACTGCAATCCTAAAATAGCTGTGGCTTCCTTACACAGCTCTTCTCTCTTCCATTACACAGGGATATTGGCCACCCTTTTCCACTCATAATAGCTGTGAAGGTCCCATGTCTTCTCAGACACATTTTTCCTCTTTTCTGCTACAAGAAGAGAGCTGGAGCATGGCCCTTGGCCATCAGTCTCCTTCTTGGCCATGCACTATACAGTTAGATGACCAAAATGCTTCTATTGTCATCCTTGTGCATCATATTTTTATTTTTTTTATTTTATTTTCATTCTGTATTTCCTTCTGTTGACCTTGTTATTCCTCCCCTTACCTTCAGCAGGCTGATATTTTCTTCCACTGGTGACTGCTTTGGGCAGAGACTTCTCCTATCAATGGAGAATCCAGGAAAAGAGACCCATTTCTGGTGGGATGGCTCATCTCTTGACTGCTCCTGCATGATTGTCTTTCAGCCTCAGTGTTCCTCCTTTGCAGCCCTGGCCTGGCCTTGAGTAGAGTTACTCGTACCCCAGTTCACAGTGTTGTTTCTCTGTCCAGTCAAGCCAGGAGCTTTGAATTGGCTTTTGTGGGCTGGAGCTGCAGCAGGATGCCTTCTGCACCATGTGTGAGCTGGGAGAGCAGGAGGATGCATGTGCCTTTGGAGAGGGTATTCAGTCTCTTTGGATGACACTCTGGAGTGTCTCTTCACATTAGAAAGTTGTGGTTTGATTTTTTTATTTTATTTTTTTTATTTCTTATTGCTTGACCATAACTTTTAGGAGTGGTAGAAGAATATATAAAGCTGAATAGAACAGGATCTGTGCATCCAATTCATTCTGTATCAAAAGAAGAGAGTATATTGAGAATGTTGTATTCAGAAAGATGGGAATTGAAAGCTGCCTTTCTATTAAATATCTTTTTTTTTTTTCCCTTTCACTTTTACAAATACTTTGTTAATGCTTTCACAAATACAGAAATGCTTGTTTTGTATTTAATTTTGCAAATGTAGTAACAATAAACAGGATTAGTCTTATTTTTGGTGTAGCACATGAATTAGTTGCTTCAGCACAAAGCATGACTTAACTCAATTCATTCTGTATCAAAAGAAGAGAGTATATTGAGAATATTGTATTCAGAAAGGTGGGAATTGAAAGCTGCAAGCTGCCTTTCTATTAAATATCCTTTTTTTTTCTTTCACTTTTACAAATACTTTCTTAATGCTTTCACAAATACAGAAATACTTGTTTTGTATTTAATTTTGCAAATGTAGTAACAATAAACAGGATTAGTCTTATTTTTGGTGTAGCACATGAATTAGTTGCTTCAGCAAAAAGCCTGAATTAACTTCACTTACTTTATTTCTATAGTTTATCAAAAGAAGTGCCTTTTTTTTGTGTGTGTTCCTTCATAAATCAGGAGAGAAATAGAAGAGTTAATTTATATTTACGTTTACTATTATCCCTCATGTCCTTTCACATCTCATTAGCCTAGTTGTCCATGATTTAAATATTTTAAATCATGGACAACTAGGCTAATGAGTAAAAACTGTAACTGCAGGTTGCTACATAGTCTAAATTTTTACCCATGCAGTGTTTTGGCACTTCATCTTTAAAGTTCTATATCAATCACTGGTTTTAAGTGCTCTGTAAATCACCTGACATTTAACAGCATTTATCTTTAATAAATTGCTCCAATTGCCCTGTGAATATTCTAGCACACTACTGATATTTGTCTAGATGGATGGATGCAAGGAATCTTTACACTAAAACCTATTGCACTGATGGCAGTTTTTGCTGGAAAATACTTGTGATAAATAGTCTGTTGTCCACTGACCTGAGGAAGATTAAGTAGATTTATCTGCTTAATGGATGAACAAAATTAGACCAGATTGTTTTCAGGCAGGTCTGTGCAGCTTAGTCTGCAGCAAACATCTGAGGGTAATTACTCTGAAACCAGGTCTCATTTGTAACTGTTTGTGTGCAGCATGGGCTGCCTGACATGCCTCCAGCTTGCCCCACTCAAGAGTCTTCCTTTGGTAGGTACAGGCAGGTTGTGTGCGTGAGGACACTCTTTAAATTATTATTATCTTTCTGAGATGCACTGTGCTTGGGATCATATCTAGTGGAGCATAGGATATCTGTCAGTGGTTCCACATTTGTTTATACTGGACTGTGTATGAAGAATTTTTAGTACTATGTAGCTCAAATTTTCTAGTTGCCATTTGATAATAATTTTTGTTTCTTTTTCCTTCCAACCACCCTTCCCAACCTCCAGCAACCTGAGCTTCCTCAGCATCCTCTTCAAAAGACAAAACACCACATGTTGCTCTGGTGAGAAGAATTGGTGTGGGTGGGAGTTGGTCACTTCCAACCCTGATTCTGATCTGTTTTAGCAGAGGACTTTAGAGCCCTATTGGCTCAGTGGTTGGACTTGATGATCTTAAAGGTCTCTTCCAACCTAAAGGATTCTATGATTCTATGAGTTATAGTCAGTGCTCTTAAGAGTGTAACTCAGGAAGCTGTGGCCAAAATTAATATATAGCATCTGGTTTTTTTTGTCTTGTGTGTTTAATAAAGAGGAACCATGGTGCTTCAGCTATGAAGCTTCAGCAACAGAACCATGGTATTTTTGACACAGTTAAGGAATCTATGGAAGAAATGCTAGTAACACTTAAAGCCCCTATAAAAACACTTATTCCAGCATTACTTATTTCAGTGAGGGGAAGAGAAATCTGTTTTACCAGTTTACTCTCTTAGACATAACTAGTACATGTGGTGGTTACACTGGCAGAAATGCAGCTACAAGGCACTTGTGTCATTTGGCATTTCTTTTTCAGTTTGAAATCAGATTTTTGTTCCTCTCTGTTAATTCTTTACAATCCCTTTTATACGTGGTCATATAATACCAATGTTTGGATAAGATTGGATCATGGACTGAACTTTGAAAGTTGAAGCTCCTAACTGAATTCCTGATTTCCCCAGTTGGCAAAATCAGTTTGGGATTTCCTGTTGTAGTGGTTTGGATTATTTTTTTCCCCTCCAGAATGAGTGAGGCAATAGATTACTGTTGAAACCCTGTTGTCAAATATATGTGCATTCAGGGTTACTCTCTCAGTGCATTTTTTGTGTACGTGTGTCTTGCTAAGAGCTTGTTTGTGTTTCCAGGGAGTTATCACAGGATAAGGCTCTTCTGTATTAGGTAGTTTTCCTGGACCATATTTATGTTAAAAATTGGGCAGTAGTGTTGTCTTGCAGTGTGTTTTTTTGTTCAGAGACTACCTTAGGCAACAGTCTTGCATTTGCAGTAAGGACTCTTTTTTTATTTTTAACTTTGCAGTGGAACTGGGGCATGTTCAGCAGCAGAATCTCCTTCATTTCCACAGCAGCATTTTTTTTATTCTTGGAGTATCCTAAACCCCATGGGCCCATGTCAGGACCCCCAAACTGATAGAAGCAATTTTGACTTACAGGGAAAAGGTCTCATCAGTATCAGTGTTTTACTAGATCATTTCAAAGCTTCTGAAAGTATATATTTTGGGGTGCTCCACATATTGGGCTTTTAGCCCTTGCATGTCATGGTGGCATGAGAGCTCTGCACTGCCTTCTGCCTCCTGGGCAAGAGGTGCTGCAGGCACTGCACCTCTCCTGCTCTATGGATGCAGAGTCTGTGACCTTCCCTTCTGTTCCTGAGAGCCAGCCAAAAAATGCACTATAATCCAGTAAGCTCCTTGTGAAGAAAAATAAGGGGAAAGTTAAAAACCAAAAGGTTTACAGGACTTTTCTGTCATACAGGAATATAAGATGTCAGCTGTTTGACTACAGCAGACTTGTGGAGAGGTATGTGAAGGCTGAACCTGTGACTGGTATATGCCAGAGTCTGTCATAGACTTTGTATTGCTTGCTTGAACTCTGTGTACACTTAAAGAGGAGGAGCTCCAAGTGTACATCTTCCCCATTTTTCAAGTCATTTCAGCAGCAGGTGACACTCACTTTTAAAAACCTCTGGATTTCTTATCAAGGAGGAAGACATACAGCCAAAAACTGGGGGAATGCATTGCACCCAATAGTAATGGCATAATAATTCTGATGTAGTCCCCAAACCCTACCTGAAATGGGTCATTCTGTTGCAATATTTCCTTTGTTTCTGTTGTGCTGTCTGTCCAGCTGTCATCTGGTTCAAGTGTATACAAGCAAGCAGGAGGAGTATTGTGGATTGAATTTGGATTTGTTCAACTTGATTGTTTCTAAGCTGAAAAATCTCTAAGCTGGTTAATATTTGTTTCAGTGTCTCTGTTGATGGGATTCATTTTGGCTTGGTCATCTGCCATTACAAAAGTTGCAGTATAATACTTCATTTGGAGTGAAACTGCCCAACTAGATGGGACACAATTTTCATCTAGTGCCAGATTTAAGACTTGAGTGTGTTAGCCATGTTGGCAATATTCTAGAATCTGATTGTTCTTAAAACTTCATTTTTCTTCCTCATTATAGGGGTCAGACTCCTGACTTTCAAGTGCTTGAAATTGCTCGGAAACTGGAGATGTATGGCATCAGATTTCACCTTGCATCTGACCGAGAGGGCACCAAAATTAATCTAGCTGTGTCACACATGGGTGTGCTTGTCTTCCAGGTAAGGTGGGGGAAGCAGACTGGGCACGTGTGTGTCTTTCCATTAGCATCTCTTGGGAATAAGTCTCTCCTTTTAACCTCAGGTGTCTTTGATAACTTTAGCATATTTTTAAGGTCAAGGGAGTGTCATTTAAGCCCCAAAAAATCATTTGGTGCAGTCTGTTCTTGGAGCAGAGGCTTGTACCATAAATATTGTGAATATTAATGGCATTGAAATGTTTCTGTCTGGTTTCCTAGGTTTTCTGGTGCCTGTGCAGAAGCAGACAGACATTGCACTCCTATAGCTATCCTTGTACTGAAAGATAAAATTGTTTCAGGGACAATTGGCTGGAAAAAAAAAAATCCAAAAGAATTGGTTTTGGGGGTGATATGTGTACACACACACACACGTTCATATACCCACAATAGAATTTTGTTTGCTACTCTTGCTTCTGAAACTTTTGCCAAGTTTTAACTGTCATCATTTTAATTCAGGGGAATACAAAAATCAATACCTTCAACTGGTCGAAGGTCCGTAAACTCAGCTTCAAGAGGAAAAGATTCCTTATTAAACTCCACCCAGAGGTCTGTGTAAGTTTTTCTGTGATTGTGGGCTGGTCAGTGTAAAATAACGATTACCTAATTTTATTCTGAAAAATTCTGGAGTTTGAAATATTATAAAAGAACTTTCAGTGAGCTAGGCTTGGTTTCATCATTCAACTAAAAATCTTTTCTCACCCAGCTTCTGTTGCCCTAGATTTTTTAGGTTTCATGTATCAGCCTCAGCTTATCCTTGACATAGGCATACATGTCAAAAACAAAAAACCACAACACCCAAATAAATATTTAGTGCATCCTGCATCAGTACTCTGAAAAAGTTACATTTAACATTTTTTTGGATATAAGTGGTCGTTAACACTCTCATCAATGATCTGATCCATTATCATCAAAATAAGCTGAGTTAACTTAAGCATTGAAATAGTAAATCTCTGTTTAGGTAAAAGTGTGTTAGGGAGTGCTTTTGGTTGTAGCTCCTTAATAGAGCACTATAATCACTGTTATCAGCAGTATACTGCATTATATGACAGTTTCTTCCAAGAACTTGTTGAGTATGTGCTGCTCAAGTGAAAAATCTGGCAGAGAGTCCCTTGGTTCAAATGAGAATAACCTGATACACCTCAGGAAAGGATAAATTACTGAGACCATATTTTTGGAGCTTGATTCTAAGAACTGATTGCTTTTGCTACAGCCTTATCCTTTCTGTATGTCTGTAAAGCAGAAGTGTTTTTTTTTATGCTTGGTTGATTTACAGTAGGTTTTTCTGACTACAGATGTCATCAAAGCTGTTTACACACTGCATGACTAGATTATTTTCAATGTAGGGTTGTTTTAAAATGAAGGGAAAAAGTCTGTGAACATTTTATAGGCATGTGTATCAAGAATAGCTGGAGCAGGACTCACTCTCTGCGTGTGTAGTAATGTGTCTCAGGGACCCTCAGAAATTTCATGTGATAACTGTACTCTGAAATATGCAGTATTTTCCAGTCTTGTCTAAGTCTCAGGAAGTAAGACAAGCCTTAGAACTTCTAGAGAAAGTATTTTAAAAGCACTACTGATGCACTTAGTAATTTGAGAGAAAAGAAATTAAAATACTTTTTGTGATCCATATTTTTAAGGGGGATTATATTGAATGTGTTTGTAAAGTGAAATGCATTTTAAACATTTTTACAGTTCAAGGTAAACAGTTTTGAAAGCTGTTACATCATTTAAACTGCTTTCAGAGTCAGTTTGTTTACTTTGAGGCATATGAGAGGTGACCTAGCAAAATACTGCATTTTACTGGAATTCAGCTTTTTTGTTGGCACCTATTGTACTCTCCTTTTCTCATCCACTGCCATTTTATGTGCTACTTAAGTTGGGTGTTTTGTTCCCAGGGCCCATATCAAGATACGCTGGAGTTTCTTTTGGGAAGCAGGGATGAATGTAAAAACTTCTGGAAAATCTGTGTTGAATATCACACATTCTTTAGGCTCTTTGATCAGCCAAAGCCAAAGGCTAAAGCAGTGTTTTTCACCAGAGGGTCATCATTCAGATACAGGTAAGGAGAAACAGAATGGATTTATTATAGATGAATTCCTTATATCTTGGAAAATGAGATCAAGAGGAAAAAAAGTATTCAGAAGTCATTCCATCTATAATTCTCATCCACTGCATTTCATAATGTTTCTGCTTTTGTGGGTTCACAGTGGACGGACACAGAAGCAACTAGTGGATTATATTAAGGACAGTGGGGTGAAGAAAACCCCATATGAAAGGTAAGTACATGTAATTTTGTAAGGTGAAATGTAGTTGAGAATTTCACATTGCTCTCATTTCCTAAATTTCAGTGTTTCTAAATGATGCTTAGAGGCATGGTCATTTGCTGATTTCTCAGTAATTAAAGTCAACCTCAAATTTAAGGAACTAAATTTTTAAAATTTTGAATTTTATGGTCTTGTAAAGGATCTTAGGAAAACATTATTGCATTTTAATGTCTGTGGACAATGTATGATGCAGCCATCTAAAAAATTTTATGTGTTTCAAAGATTTACTGAAATTAGTGAGGGCTTGTCTGTATGTCACTGTAGTGATGCAAGTAGCCAGTGGCAGAGCACATAATTGAATTTGGGATCTGCAAGCCTGCATATGCCACCTTTAAATACTCATTAATTTCTAAACATATAAATAAATAAGAATGTGAATTTTCATTATAAAATTGTCATTTACTTCCTTTGATGCTATCCTGTCTTCATGTGGGAAGCTCTTCATAGTCTTTAATCTGAAAGGTTATAGGAACTTAATAAGAATTTTAAGTTTGCATTAACCTACTCTTAATAAATATTTTTAATGTTTTGGACTCCAGTTAAGCTCCTTTTCTGTATGAAAGATTTACTTTGTAGTAAATTATTAACATTGAATGAATGTAACCATGAGTGTGATGCAGAATACTAGTTTTTGGGATGTAACATATAAAATTCTATATGCCATAAATTATAGGATTGACAGGATTCTAAGCTGTTTATAAAATTGTTACAGAATAAGTCATTCTGGTTTTGAAGCCCTTCATTTGTAGATATTTAGACTGATGACAAGGGAATGAGTTAAACTCCAACTCCCACATTTCTTCCATTTCTTATTTCTTCCTCTCACGTTGTTTAATTTATAACTCTTGTAACTTTTTAGATTTTGAACTAGTTTTTAAAAAACATGGCAAAATACAGCTTAAGATGTTTCTGTTGGCTAGTAGAATCAAAATAGCTGACTGGGGAAGGGAGAAGGCTGATTGGTGTCTTGGAATCTCACAAGATGCTCTGTTCTGCAGGAGGCACAGCAGAGCCAGAGCATCCACTCGCACTTCGAACACAGATGTGCCAAAACAGGTCAGTTCTGCAGCACCCCCAGTACTGCAGGGAAGCTGACAACCAGCTTTCTGAGGTGATGATGATTAAGGAAAGGTGATCTGGGTGAACTGTTTTTCTGGAATTGCTTTCACTGTTTGATCTTTGTCCCTGATGTGCAGTTTTTCTTCTTTTTACAGATGCTATCACTTTTCATAGTTGTAACTAGTGGAGTCTAAAGCAAGTAATATTTTCCTTTTCAGATTTCAGCTTAACTGAAAAGAAAATGATATACTTTCTAGTATGTTTTTATTTCAGAGGATTAGTTTGTCTTCAGGTACTATCTAACTGCTTTCTGTGGAAGTCTTGAGTTCAGTGTATAGATGCCTTCTACAGTCAGTGGCAGCAAACAAGTGTTTCACTGAAAGGTTAAGGAAGTGCCAGAGGATTTTACTGTCATTTTGTTTTACTCTTCACTGTGGATGCTTTTTCAGCAGAGGCTATAAAGTACATGGATTTAACTTTCTGTCCAATTATCATAATTCAGGAAAAAAGAACTTGCCTCTTACTGGGGCTGCTGGAGCCATTTCTGTATGCAATGTTTTGTTGGCTGTAAAGTAAGTTCTTTGGAAGAACGTGTTCCTTCTACATCAGGAACTGGATGTTGCATTTTGTTTTATGTTTTATAAAAATCTTTTCTTTGTGTGTGTTTCTACTTTTTTCCCTCTTAGAGTGTCCCATTTACTGAGGGCTTGAGAACCCCAGGGTCTCCTGCCTCAGCAGCTGCCCCCTTCCACTCAGTTCACTCATCGGCCACTCCTACTCCTGTCCTGCCCATCTTTGCAGAAACCAGCCCTTCCTCTTTGGACCCCCAAGCACCATATATAAGGATTCCAGAAAACACTTCACCACCAGCAGAAGAAACGGGAAGGAAACCGATGCAGCAGCCTGGATCTCCCATCCTCCAAGGTGTTGGGTTTGGTAGTGTTGCAGGAAACTGTACCCCTGCTTGTTCTGTTGAGAGTGGCTGTGGTTTAGATCTAAATGTAGAGAGCAGTAGCAATGAGGGCAGGGTTGCTGTTTGTAAAAATGACAATGATGAGGATGACTTTACCAAAGGTGTTTTTGTGGCTGAACAAAAGCATCAGCGTGTAAGTCGAGGTGCCCCTCTTTTCACATTGACAAATTCGCAGCTGCAGGTGTCAGAGGAATTTATAGATGATGACCCAGCAGAAATTTCTTTTTTTGCTGGTGGCTCCGAGGCATTTTCTTATGTGTACAGTGGTTTAGAGTTAAAAGGTTCTGATTTTTCTAAGCATGTGTCAGAATCCCCTGGCTTAACTACAGATATCCTCCAGCAAAATACAGTCTCTTCTCAGTCGAGCCCTGACAGATACTCGACTGAAGCAGTAGATATGAATATGGAAGATGAGTTTGAATTTGAGGTGAGTGATTTCAATGGCAATGAAAGGCCATCAGACACCTCAGAGCTGTTTGAGGTGAAGGCCCAAGCAAGCAGGATGCAAAGCCTCCTGAGCCCATCTGAAACGAGCTCGCTGGTCAACAACCGCTCCGAGAGCAGCTCCCTCAATCTGCCGCTGAACGGTACGTCCTCCCTGCACGTGTACAGCTCTGCCAACCACTCAGAGGCCAGCTCCATGGTCAACTTCCCTGCCTACTCCATCCACTCAGAGTCCAGCTCAGCCTTCCAGTTCACAGACATTATTGACCAGCTGGAACAGCTGAGCTACCCGCCTACCACCACAGAGGAGTCCAGCAGCACAGACACGGACTCCTGGGACTCTGAAACTGCTGCACCACTGGATGTAAACCTTTTCTTTAGTAATCCTTTTGCTCAAGCCACCAGTGACAACTTTGCCTTTGACTTTCAAAATAATTTAAAAAATCTCACCCAAGAAGACTGGACAGAGCAGACACATGCCGACTGATTGTGATTCTTATGATGGATCCCTCTGTGCTGTTTACCCAGTTAAAAGGGTGTGGTGTCAGTCACTTTAAGCAAGAAAACTATAAGCTGGTGGCTGGATTTTAAACCACATAATGTAGTTGATTTTTTTCCCTCCCCCTCAGGTACATCTTCAGTTTTCCTCAAAGCACTCTAGCTTTGGTGCTGCATTGAATGCATCACACTGCGTCCAGAATGTGCTACGATAGGCTGCAATGTTCTCAAAAAACCTGCATTTAGGAAAACCCACTGATTTCAGAGAAGTTAAGTATCATCAGCTGGCTCATGCAGGTATCACAAATTACAACATGTTGAAGAATCTATTTGGCTATAAGTGTACCTGGAAGAGTCTGGTTCCTCCACTGCCCAAACGCAGTGGTCACTTTTGCACATGCTTGTTAACAAGCAGCTGCATCCAGGAAACTTGCTGTTTTCCTATGCTGCAGTGAGAGTTGTCATTTTGGGGTTTTTTGGTTCCACAATCAAAAAAATGGACAATCTGCAAATTGACTATGAAGGAAAGTTCTAAAATATCAATCTGTTTACCATGTCTGCAGTACAGTGCCAAGAATAAATAACCTACATGATAGTTTAGGAAGAGGAACGCGTGCACAATCAAATGAAAAATAGCAGTTGCCAAAACTTCTTGTGAAGACAATCATTGTATTTTCTGACTTCAGGGTGCCTTCAGCAGCCAAGCAACAAACAAGTACTCATCTGCTTTGCAGTAGTTTGGAGATACATGCATAGACTATAAAAACATTCCCACTGTGTTTTGTATCACCTCCTTTTTCTTTATTTAATCACTCTGCATAAAGATGCTTACAAATTAATTCATAGAAGTGCCCTTCATCTGTGGGAGACAGGTGGTGGCAAACTTGGTAATAGCTTTAACTTTTTCTTTAAAATACGGGCTGTATTCAGAAAAATACTGTAATCTTTCTGAGAAATTGAGGTTATTTAGGAGTGGATACTGCAAACAGCTTCACGGCTTTTATAATTTTTTCATTTTTTTTCTAGTCAGGTGACTTTAATGTGAGATGTCATCTGTAAGTTTGAAGATGTAGCTGAAAAAACAGTTACTGAACTGGTCACATCTAATTTAGAGATTTCACCTCACATTTATTGAGGTGAAACAGTAAAAATGGTGAAATGTCCTTCCTGTGTGCCAGCTTGGTGGATTAGAGGGGTGAAATTCTGAGCTTTGGCTCCTAATAGCATTTTTTAGAGTATTTTGGTTTTATATGAGTAAGAATGTGAAATACGTAACACTTGACTGAAATCTTGGAATGGAAAGCATCATCTCCTTCAGCCATTTGGTTTTGGGGTTCCATGTTGCCCAATTTTCAGTCCTTTGCAGAGAGAGTGCAGTACTAGGAAAATCAATGCTGTCAAAATAAGCGCTTACAGTTAGAAGCACAACTTTATGCTTAATATTATTCATGTCAGCTTTCTTAAATGTGGTCTTGATATAGCATTTAAAGACCTTCACTCTTTACTGAAATGTTTTTAAAATACTATTATTTCTCAAAATTCTGATAACTGTAACTTCAAGAGAATTCCTCTGAATGGATGGTAGAACACGAGGAGGTAAAACCTCCTTTACTCACCCATTCCTTCTAGTTTAGTTTTTATCAAGGTACAGTTGTTCTTCCCAGCACTTGCTTTTATGTTGTGGTTACTGTGTTAGAGTGGAATCACTGTTGTTCTGTGAGAAACCTGTTGGCTTTGCCCATGGCACAGAAAATCAAAGCACATTTAGAACTAAGTATTAGTTTGGACCAACAGGTATGTACAGCAGTTTGATTGCTCTTTGTTTGTTTATAAGTGATATGTTTGTTGGTTTTGTTCTTCTTCTGTTGAATGTGTGTTCTGGCTCTTCATGTGACTTTATTCATATCTGTGGAGATGGTGTAATGGACAAGTAATGTGACATTTCTAAATAGGCACATGGAGGAAGTCTTCAGTTGTATCCAAAGCTGGTACCTTTAAGTATGTTTTTAGGCAGTTTGATTTCCTTCTCACAACTAGCTTAAAAAAGAAATAGGAAGAAAAGAATTCTGGTAGCAAACTTTATTACAGGTGGTAGAGTTGGGGACAAATATGTAGATAAAGATTTAGAGAGAGGCTGCTAATTTCTTTGCTCTTTTAAAAACAGCATCAGGATTCAGCTACTCACATATAACCGTATCTGCCTCTGTCATATGCTTTGCTCAATCACAAGCATTTTCTCAAAACGTGTGAGAATTGCTTAACGTGAGAATAAATCCCACTAAGTTCTCTAGTTTTCAAAAAGATCTTAGGAAAAAGCTGCCTGTGTTTTCAATAAACAGTCGTGATTGCTTGGCAGTCCTGAGAGAAGGCTTGCCATTGTGTTTTCTTGCACCACTGTTAGTCTGAAAAGGCAGCTTCTGTGTTTTTCTTCTTGTATTTTGCAACTATGCACACCTTTTATCAGCAACTGTATATCTCAGGGATTTTTTTGTTTTAAACAATTAATAATAGTCTCAATGTAATGCCCCTTTTGGCTTCTAAAGGAATGGGAGCAAGTTAGGGTCTCCATCTTTTAGCTTGGAGCAAGATGTGTGGTTCCACAGGTGAGGATGGAGAAGGGGGCTGGGGGGAGCTTGCAGGCAGTAGAGAGCTGTTCAGATAAAGGTTTTAGTTACAGGTGTCACTGGGAACACTGATCCTTCACATCATCTGACTCCTCTGTATATCTGGATTTGGGGTGCTTGCACAAAGACAATGCTGGTCAGCACCTAAAAGCCAATATCCTTTGCCAGGATTGGACACTGGGGTGTCCTTCCAGGCTGTGTGAGAATTTAGTGCCCCTGCTACCTGCTAGCTATACCTTTGCTGTTGCTAACTGATGGCAAGCATAGAGCTGTGTCATTTCTTTCTGGGCTTTTCTGATTTTCAGAGCTAGATGGCTTCTGAGGGTACCATTGCATGCTTAGCTCTGTTTTATTCATGGTTTCCCAGACAAGCACAAAAGAAGAGAAAATTTTGTTTGTAAGTAGAGTTTATTATAGGAAGAAAACTGTGAGAAAAGGTTCTTCATCATTTCCTCCAGAGGGGTAAGTGCAGGTTTGTTTTGTGGTAGAGATGGAGAGAAAAACAGCCTACCCTCAAGGGAACAGGACAACTCAGTGCTCTGCAGGGAACTCAAGCAAGAGTTGTGAGTTATTGTAGTGCAGTAGAGCCATGCCAAGCATTCTCTTCTCCCCCAGCTGTCTCCTGAGGTGGCAGAAGAAGGTGAGAGGAGTCTTTCTATTCATTGTCCTTATCATTTGTCTTTTGGTAGCCTAAGGGAACTGATAAACTTCAGTGCAGTGTGGTTATGTCAAGTGCCAGCAGTGCTGCTAAGCTTTCAGTCTTACTCCTTGGGGTTTGATTTGTTTTCTCTTTAGAGTGTTGATACTATTAAAACTTTGTTCCTGGTACTGTTTTTTGTTTTTTTTATTGAGCCCACAACTTTTCAAGAGGGTGAGTAGTATGCTGGCAGGTGTGGGGTTGGTGCCAACCACCTAAGCCAAGAGAGGTGGGATCCTTGCAGAACCTGAGCAGTGAAAGCTGCTGTGGGAATTGCATGGCATGAGAAAGGGGGGAAATTACACAGGAAAAATCAGAGCTTTGTTGAGTATACCATGCATGCTCACCTTGAGAAGAAGGCATTTGAGGAGCTGTGGTAGGAGCAGATGAAAGCCTAAGTGCAAACCTTTGTAGCAAGTGGTAGGATGACTCTCCCCTTGACCTTCTCACTTCTGCACATACATTCTTTCACTTGCTTTCTGCTCCCATCTGTGGGAGACTAGGGGTGACATACACAGGTACGTGTATTTCTAGGCAATGCAGGCTTTAGTGCCATGCTTTTCCAGTCTGGAGAACCACTGGAGTTTCTCTCCTGCTCCAGGCAGTGCATCCAGCAGCTGTTGCAGCAGTAGCTCAGTGCAGGGAGCGTGCTGGAGCCATTGCTCCTGCTCCTGGGTGA